GCCAACAACAACCTCTGTCCTTAAACAGTTGTTTATTAGGGAGCTGCATCTGTAGAATCTTAGGGTGCCTGTAGACATGTGGGGAGTCTGCTCCGATGCACTGTCGATTAATTGAGTCTGCTGGAGCATGGTAATTAACACGCTTCCAGCAGCCGCTGCATCTCATGTATTAGTGTCCCTGCACTTCAAAATGGCAGCAGGGGTGCTTTAACTAAAGCTCGTTTGACAATCTTTAATTAAAGTGTCCCTACCACTATTCTGAAGCAGGGTCATGTTGATACATGAGACATTGCAGGTGCTTTAATTAGAGTGGCTCTCAGAAATGCTCTGACTAAAGGTGCCCCCGCCCCCCACTTTCACAATACATGTAAAAACACCCTTAGTGCTGCCTGGTGCCTAAATAGCACAGTATAGAATACTCTTAGGTTGTTTAGTTTCATAATCCTATGTTGCAAATTTGGCCTCCTAGCAGAAAGCTGTACCATCTCTCACTCACTGGAACATGTGGGGAAGGAAAGGGCTTTATTTGTATACCTAAATTACTTAAAAAAGTGGCCTCTCAAGGGCCTCCAGAAGTGTGAGGAATTCACAGGCTCTTGAGAAGTCCCATTCCCATGGATTGCCAGGCCAGGTGTCCAGACTGGAGCTGTGCAGTCAGTTTGGTGAAACTTTGTTTACACATGTAGCTTTATGTACAATGCCAAATCTCCCCCAAACATGGAAGCCTTTCATTGCTGCCTGCCTCTGAACAAATAACCTGTTTACAAAGTGCTGAATAAATTAGAAGATGTCAAATAGTAAGATGCTGTTCTGTCAGTGGGGAACATGAACATGATAATTTCATTACAGGTAATGGTCCATATCATGGGTACTTAACCCTTAGCCCATGGGCCAGATCCAGACCTCAATACTGTGCCATTCAGCCCATGGGGCTCCCCATGGGGCCAGAAATGTGGTGGCAAGGGAGTGATGGCACTGCTCCCTTGCTACAAAATATCCAGACAAATGGGGAGTCCTGGGCCCTGGATGCTGGATTGGGCACCTTATCCTGATGTGCAGGGCCAGATTTGGGGGTGGGGGGTGGGGAACCAGGCCCTGGTGCCCAATCTGGCACATGCAGGTGGGAGGTGACAGGGCTTGGCCCCAGGACCTGATCCAGCTTGCAGACAGACCCCACACCACTCATCTGGCCCACAAGGTCAAAAGGTTTACCACCACTGGTAACAGTGAGCAGTGGTTTAGAGCACCCAGACTGACGTAGCCGATGGAGTCCTGAGTTTCCTGGGTGGGTGCTTGACCTTTTCCAAAAATACATCCTCTGTGATTGGGCATTCAAAATCATTTGGAACTTTAACAGACTGGCCAATATATCTATCTTATTGTAGGGGATAAATGAATCATTATAGAGTCCCTGCCCAACTGAAGTAATTAAGGTGCAATGCTTTGGCATTGCTTGCTCCAGAGGAAAGTATCTTCACCAGTCTGCCTGGTATCTTCAAAAGACTCAAACTCAGCTCTATCTTGTACATTGTGTGGGAAAGAATAAAAAGGGCTCGGATATGCTTACTGCACTCATGAGAGAATCCAGTACGCTGACAGCAAATGCAGTTCCACACGCAAATGGCTGTGTGAGATACAGTTCTGTGTCGGGGTCGTCGTCATCATCTTGGTCCAAAAACTGAACATTTGAATCATTTACTGAAAATAAGAATACAAAAGAAAAAAAATAAGGGGCTTACTTGCCAGCAACATGTGACCTTACATATTACACAACCAGAAAGAAAAAAGAAACAGCACGTGTCTCAAAACACAGACTTGTGTCTTTGACGTCACTGAAAATGAAATCAAAATTGATGTGAAAATGGCTATTTAAAAATCTGCAAATCCTTATTTTTCTTGTATAGAAGGTGGAAATCCCTGTGCTGTAAAAGGGAGTTTCTTGGCATTATTCTCTTGCACTCACAAAGAGATCCTTATAGCTTTGTTGTGGTACTGTTATGAGCGAACAAAGCCAGGTTCACTTTGTGAAATACACCTTGTCTGTGAAATATTGGTTCAAGTCAAAGGCATTTGGTTAAATGTGATGCCCTGATTCTTTCTCCTGTAAGTTGATTAACTGCAGTCATAGTTCCAAAGAGGGGAGCTCTCAGTTCAGTTTGTCTCAAGTTAAATGGGAGAATGATATTTGGTGGTACTAGCAACTCTTCTTCAGGAGCAACTTGCATCCACATGGCTTCAGCAGCTTCATCATTGCCCTAACCACAAATGCTATTTCATTCAGTGAATGAAAATCTCTGCACTAGGTTGCTTGGCAAAGAAAGACAATTCATAATAATGTTCACTATTTAGGTTAGGTCTACACTACTAAAAATAGCCACTCCATAGCTATAATTCTCAAGCTCCTGCACACTGACCATCCATGTAAAATGCCTTATCTTGCCTTCCCTCAAATCACAGCAGTCATAAAAAACATAAAAGGATAGGGGTGTAGAGGGCCTCAGGAAGTCATCCAGTCTACCTTCTGCTCATGGCAAAATCATCCCTGTCTAAACCAGATATGTGTTTGGCATATCTGCTCTTAAAAACTTCCAAAGATTAACATTCTACAACCCTTCTAGGTAATTTTCTCTAACGTTTAATAACCCCCTATAGTCAGAAATTATTTCAAGTACCCAACTTAAATTTCCCCTGCCTCAGTTTAAGACCATTGCCAGTTCTCCTCTCTTTATAAACACCTTTCATGTATTTGAAGATTTACCAAATCTACCTCCTGCCACTCCAATCTTCTCTTCTACAGACTAAATACCAGGTCTTCCAATCTTTTCTCATAAATCACGTTTCCTAAATTTCTAATAACTTCTTTGAGTTTCTGCTGGATTCTTTCTTATCTCTCCACATGTCTCTTGAAATATAGTTCAAATGAAGGCTAGCTGATGTTTTAAGGGCTCACCAGTGCAGGGGCCAAGGTAGAGTTGCCTCTAGTATGCCAGTCCCTGCAATGAGTTTAGTACTTACCTGAGGAAACAGGTGTAAACAAAGTCCGCTAATGGCAATCCCACTGACGTTTGATCCTTCTGGACCCTACTTCTTATCCCACCTGCCTGTAACTGGAGCCATGTATAGAATTAGAAATAAGTAGTGGATAGATTGATTGAAGTAGTGGAAGGACTCCACTTGTTGGACAGTAATGTGAAGCTTTCTTGAGCTGACCTCTTTAGAAATCAATCTACCAATGACTTGCCTCTCCTTTTATTCTTCATATGGGCAATTATCATGTAAATGGGAAATGGTGTTTTATATGGTTCTTGTTAGCTAAGGGCAAACATTGGGATCAGGCCAAAATAAAAGTATAATATGAATCTGTAGGTATTTTGTTGATGATTAGTGCTCATCTCCTTCCCTCTACCTCATACAAACAGTTCATACCTTGTTAGACATCTTATCAAGTATATAACTGATTACATTTTTTATTTCCATATTAGTACTCCTCAACACAAATGCATAGACTGCTTCCTTGTGTTACTAATATGCCTTTTAGTTTATTAAAAAGAACAAATTAATATTAATTTCCATTCAAGGATGGTAAATTATCAGCTCTGCAGCAACTGCTACTGCAAATCTTCAACTCTTTGTGTATTGAATGTGTATTACTTACAGTGTGAAATTCTATTAATCTTTGGGTGCATCTACATGTGCAATTAATGCGCCTGAATTTTCTCTGCAGAAAGTTCAGGCTCATTAAAGCACTCCTGGAGGCAGGTGTAGACATAAGCCCATGTTGGAAGCAAATTGCACCCAACATGAACAGCCCAGTTTAGGGTTGTTCCTGCCCTGCTCTTCCCCCCTGCAGCAGCCAGGGGGGGTTCCAGGCTCCCCTGAGTGCTAGCCCCTCACTGTCCCAACTCTGGGGGTAGCCCCAACCAATCTGGGGGGGGGGGGCGGGGGGGGGGAGCTATCCCC